TCACATACAAGGTCTTAAATAATCAGGCCCCATCTTATCTTAATGACCTTGTAGTACCATATCACCCTATTAGAGCACTTCGCTCTCACACTGCAGGCCTACTTGTTGTTCCTAGAGTATTTAAAAGTAGAATGGGAGGCAGAGCCTTCAGTTTTCAGGCCCCTCTTCTGTTTCTGATCGCTTGGTCAAACACATTCACACTAATGTGCTACCAGAAGTCATTTTGTAGCTCTGGCAGGACTCATCCTGCTCTTCTTTACACAAAGGAGCAGATACCACCCCTGCTGATGGGTTAAGGCCTTCTACAGCCCTGTCCAGCCCTCCTAGAGTAACTGCCTGTCTCCTGGACCCTCCTCCATGTCTTTGAGGCTGAGCTGAGAGAAACTGTATCCTGGAGGAACTACCTGTGTAACCTCTGTAGGGTCCAGGTATCACAGCAACACTGAGACTAGCCAAATGTAAAACTAGTGAAAAACAGAAAAGTGAAAACATTCATGTTCTGGGGTTGTGTCCTCATTCACACCCCACAAGTTTCACTGACTTGATGTTAAACTCTGACTAAAGAGCGCTCCTTTCATTGTTTCAGCAGTGACACATGCTGTAACATCAGGTGAGCATAAACACCTGGAGGAATCACTCCGTGTTCTCACCTGCAGAGGACTCTCTCCCTCTCTGCCAAAGTAAATCCTGTGCTTGGCATTGCTGGCGTGTTCCTTCGCCAGCTCGTGGTCATTGTTAAGGAATACGGTGAGTGATCCAGGCCGGGTCAAAATGCTTAACGGAGGCGTGCAGACGTCACCTGGAAGAGCAGAGTGAGCGTCAGCACTGCAGCAGCTCGTGGTTCACACTCTGGTCAGGATGGTTAACACCTCGAGTCTCACAGCTTCACCCACAGACAGCGCTGACACATATCTGAGGTTTCTCACCGTATCTGCTGCAGGCGTTAACACCCTCAGATTTCAGCCCCCGTCTCTCGGCCTGCACACGCAGCGTCACGCAGCTGTTCTCAGGCAAGTCGTTAGTGACGCGCGGCCCGATCGCTGATATGTTGCAGGAATGGAAATGCGTCTGGATGCAGGCTGGAAGAGCTTCCCATTCATCAGAGTTAAATCTGAGGATGAGGAACAGAAACGAGTCAGAGAAAACATCTGCTCAGCATTCTCTCTGCTGTGAAACCCAATCACTCTTGTTGCTTTAGTGTTATTGAAGCAGGAGCTTTGCTGACCTCTGACCTCTTCCTAAACATTTTACCAGCCCACTGTGGATTATAATCTGTGACAGTGACACTACACTCAGCCTGCTGCTCTCTGATGGCGGCTTTCATGTGAAACTGTGAGAACGATGGAGTAAATAACATGTCACCAGCTGATCTCTCGCCACCAACGGCCGTGACGATATAAAAGGAAGCTCCACCTTAAAACAGAGCACCTTCCTTGGCTGTGAGGTCTCACCTGCGGTAATTCACAGTGTAGGTAACGTCCGGCTCCCCTGGAGTCCACGTCAGCTGACCCTTCTCCACCTGGACGTTCTGTGGAGGTGGCAGCGCCTGAGACGCGACTGCAAAGGTGAAGAAAGCAAACCAGAGAAACCCCTGCATAATCCAGATTATTGTTATTCGTGTGATCACAGCCTCAGATGATTTATTAAAGAGACAGCAGGAACCATCGACCCCACGACGTCTGAGCTCAGAGGGACAAAGATTCAAAAACGAGGAACAACATCTGTCTGCTGCACACGGCACGTTTTTAAAAACTA